TCATAATAATGGCTGGGTGAAGCAAAAATTTAGAAAATTTTAGAAAATTTTAAATACTCATTAATTCCAAAGCATCGGGCTAAGATATTAAAATAAGCAAATTTGATGCATTTTCTAATAGAAACAAGAAGATTGACAATTTTAGTGTTACTTTTTTTTTGGCTATATTTGTTTTTATTTATAATGATCGATACAACCAAATTCATTATTGAGTTCATTTTTAATGCCTAAGCAGACAAATTATTCTAAACTTGCAGTTTTATTAATGTAATACCTATAAATATGTCAACAAATGTGTGCGCATGCGCAGAAAATATCAAAGAAAAGGATGTTGAATTTGAATTTTCTGGTCAGAATCATGAAAAGAGCACAAATTAATGCCTAGATACTAATTTTTCTCAATATATCTACTTTTGTTGCGAATCCGTGGCAGATTGAACTATTTTTTCTTGACTAGTTTTGAAAACGCCCCTACACAACCCCTGATTAATAATAAAAAAATTATCGTTTTATATAAACATGTGTCAGATAGGTTAAAGCTAAAAGTCAGGAGGTCTGAGGGGTATCGCTTTGAAACTCCTGAAGTTATGAAAGAAAAACCAGCTAGGGGGCACTTTGTGCCCCCCCCCTAGTCTGGATAGGGTTAAGCCTTTTTTTTTGAACTCTGCTTTCCCCGGCATTTCTCAAATTTGATTAATTTTATACCATTTGGTGTTTGAGAAAGTAGTGAACGAGATTGTGCAAAGATTCATGTGATTGAACTGTCTGACTTTTGAGATTGAGCCCCCAGCTAACAATGTTGACATACAGAGCAGGAAGTTGCGGGCAGGTATGTTAGTTCCAGTCATTTTCAGTTGACTTCTCCAAAGATATTCTTTCAGACATGCTGGGTTAATACAGTGGCTCCTAACAATCAGCATTGTTCCAAATTTAGTTGCTTTAATGTTAGGTTGTCACCCTTGCAGAAATGACAGAACTTGAAGAGCAACAAGATTTGCACCAAAAATGAGATGAATTTCGGTTCTGTCCGGAGGTTTCCATCTGTAACTAAGAGATGTGTTTCAGATGAAGTAAATTTTAAACTTATGCATAACTAAACTTGACTAAACAATTTGAGAGATATGTTTTCTCTGCTAATTATCTGCAAATTGCATAAATAGTAATGTTTAAAACAAGAAACACTGCAATGTGCAGAATAAAACAACAATGAAACACAAGTGGTTTAAAGATAGGTAATATTTTACCTCAGCAAAAGTAATGGCATAATTATGTCTGCAACAACTTAACCAGATTTTAAATGGGTGGGTAGTCTACAATCATATTTAACATGTAAAAGTACTAGTGCATTTACCTAGAAGCCTCTTCTGTATCACTTTCTAAATTGTTTCTGTGTCTGAATGAGCAGATGGTTCATAAATTGACATTTCTCATCCTCACAGTCAAAATCATGCTCCTCCAATGATTCATCATCACTTTCCTCAGAACTATCTTGCTATTTTGGAGATCATTAGACGCAATTTTTGAAAAATCGCTCTTTTTAGGTGACCTCTTTTGTTTTCTTTACTTTCTCTGAAATATTTAGCCACAATAAAAATGGCTGGATTCAAGTGATGATTCACATAAGTATTAGATAGGCATCAGTTCCAAATAGGCTTTTCAGTGCTCTTTGTGCAATTTTATGATCTTATATTTGCACTCTTCTATGCAAAGTTGATCAAAAATTAAGGCTATAATGGTAGTACTTTAGTGGAGGGCAAATCCCTGTTCAGATCTTTTGAGGAGAGAGGATTTGATATCCCTGAACTTTGGAAATTTTTTGCACAGCTTTTGTCACAGAGATAAAAATGAAACAGAAGCCTTGAAATTTAAAGGCCAAATTAAGCTGAAAAGCTTTGTAGTAGGATTTAAGCCATTTAGAAGCCATTTAGAATGCAAGAAACTTATGAATCGAACAAAATTAATTGCACATTTGGGAAATAATCAGGAAACACAAAAACCTACCTTGCAGTACACTGTTATTTTTTGTGATAAAATTATTCTGACCATAACACCAAAGCTGGATTTTCTTAACTTGAAAGTTGAGGGTCTGTGTAACCGAGAGCAAAATCATGTAAAGGGATTGAATTGAATTTTTTGCATAATTATTACAGATCTGTGTAATCATGCAAGAAGAAACGCCTATTATTCACGAATGTTTTGATTGGTTGTGGCAGTATGACATAGATTTATCTGTTAGAAGAAAAGTTTTGAAAGCTCTGCTATTTTGATGTTGAAGATCTTCATTGGGACCCCTCATTGGTTCTGACCAAAACAGATCAAAGATGCTGTGGGCCAATCTTGCTCATTTTACAGTAGTTGATGGAGAGTGAATCTACCGCATGCAGCAATCAAAGTAAGATTGACTTGGCAACCAATCAATTTGCTTTGAGTAGACATTTGATTTTGCATGGTAGAAGATGTTTATTTTCTAGTTTGGCTCGAATTTAATGTAAAGAAGCATTTTTTGAGACAAGATCTGGTGGATACGATGACGGAAAACATAACTTTCAGAGTAGCCATAAGTAATGGAAGCTGAAAAGTAGACAAGACGCTTTGGCCTTAAGCTGTAGAAAATGATCTCTATGTATAAACGCAAGTCTACATACAGTGTAAATTGCTAAAGACTAGTAAACATTTATTATTGATCCAGACAAGGCTGCCTAACAGAGTGGGCTAATTTTTTTAGCAATGCGAGTCAATAGGCCCATGCCTTGTACTTTTCATGAATTCTTTTCATCGTGATAATGATTGCTCTGCTATTAACACGTCTTCTAAGTTCCTTGTTTGAAATTTGAAATCTGAAATTTGATAAAAATGTTTTTAAACGTTCATTAACACATAAGAGAAGAGTTATCAACAAAAATTCATCCTCCGGTTTTTGAAGTGTTTCCATCCTTGTGCATCATGATATATTCACCTTGTGTAACAATTGTCTAGGCATCATGATATATTCAATGCTTTCAGACATTATTGTGTCACTGTTTGACAAAATGAAAAGGAACATTGAATTTGCACACATTTCTTTTCGCTATTTGAATGTGTAAACTGCCCCAGCAAACTACGCTCTGTTCACGCTGTTGCTCACTTTTGCCACATAATTTTTGGATAATAAATTTTCCCAGAGATCCTGACAAAAGCTCATTAGCGATATTGCTCTGGGTTACACAGACCCTCTACTTTCAAACACAGGCTAGATTTTCTTTCAGTCCTCCCTCTGTCCCTAGACCTCCCTTCCTATTGAAAGGCTTGAATGGTGCAATTTTCTGTTTCAAGTTTGTTTAGCAATAATGCCCACCTATTTTTAAAGTTTTGACAGAGATCAATTGAAATGAAACAGTATGTCTTCTTTTTTCTAGAAGCCTACATGGTATGGTAAATATATTTCTTCTAAACAGGAACTGATTGACCTAGAAGGGGATGTTGGCTGCCACACCCCCAATATTTCTTTGTTCTTTGGTAAATTTGCTTCAATTTGGTAAAAAGCAGTGTTTGGTAGTCGGTAATAAGAAATGTTGCAGGAAAGTTGCTTTATTTATCTTTTTACTTCAAAGTTAAAAACTGAATTTGAAAGTGGATGTGTCCATCATTTTTTAGTTACCTTAAGGTTGTGACACAAAATCCAATTATAATCTAACACCCCACTTCTTGCCATTTAAATCCGCCCCTGCTTCTTAGGCTTCCTCCCAGACCCCCCCACTTGCATTTTCCCTATTTTATTTGCCCTGGTAATTATCGTACGTTAACAAAAATTTATTTATAAATTTGAAAAAAATATTTTTCCCGGCTGATTATGGACAAACGGGGTTCTTGAAGGCTACTTCTTTTATTTCTCCGAGAAACTGCGCGACTTAAAAATGTGTCTGTTTTTTTCTCATCGTTTATAAATTCGTTTATAAAATTTCTGACAGGTTGATGCCGCACCCACCCTTCTTTGACGTCATTAATTTCAATACATACATAGTACATGTGTTGGAACTAACTAGTCAATTTTTGATTTTTCAGTCTTTGTTTTGATAACAGAACTCTCAAAGTGATGATTCAATTCCTTCTAATACAATTCTCTTTTAAAAGAGCAGTGCAGCTGGGACAAGCTTCTTTGTTGCTGACACTAGGAATTTGATGTTCTTGTACCTGGATTATTCTGATATAACAAGAAAATATTGGTGACAAGAAGGGCTGGAGGTGAACAAGGCAAAATAATAGCAAAACGAGCAGTTTTGTAAGAGCAGGAATTTGCCGAGCAATTTGCAATCACTAAATTACTCCCTGCTGCAGGTGACATGACAGAATTGACAGTCAAACTTGGACATAGATCTTTATAGATAGACTACCAAAATAGTCCATTTCCCAAAGTCGCCACATAATAATAGGTTGTTGCAAGTTTCACGAATGATGGATTGAATCTCTGTTCACCACCGCGTCAAACTCATGTGTAAGAGTCGCTTCGTGTCAAAAACCTGTTTCTACTTTCTATCATAGGTAAATGGGTTTCATTCTCTATTATTATTTTATAGTTTTACAAAAGTTTTGAATGATATCTTAATGTCTATGTTTGTACATAAGTAAATTCAGCATTGGAATTATCAAATTCTTAAGAATACAATAAGAATATTACTCAACTGTCAGCACCCAAATTTGTGTCTCATTTTTTAGTAGTTGTCTGTTGTGCTTTGCTCATAACAAATACTCGCATCACTGACATGTCCTATTTTCAAAAAGTATGGTAAAAATTGAAGCATGGGCTTTGATGATAGACACCACACCAAACGTCAGTCCTCAAAAACACCTGAGCATTTGTGTTCGCATTGTGCACACCAATGGAACATATTCTGAGCACATGTTAAATTGTATCCGAGCTAGGGGAACAAAAGCTTTTGAACTTTTTAAGGTCATCAAAGATACACTAGATTCCCACAATTTACCCTTTAAGAAGCTCATTGACCAGACATATGATGGTGCTTCGAATTTGAGTGGTTGCTATAAAAGGCTACAAGCTTTAATTAAGAGAGAGAGATTGGTGATCAAGTGACCTATGTCCATTGTTACGCACAAACTTATAATCTCGTGTTATCTGATAGTGCAGGTATTGCACTTGATGCTGCAAAACTGTTTGACCAACTAGAAAGTTTGTATCTACTTTTCTCCAAAAGTGAGGAAACTTAAAAATTGACACGAATCAATTTTTGGCAACTGCTGTGTTATTCCAAGGAATTTTCCAGCATACAGGTCCTCTTAGCCGCTACTTGCAGGCAACAAGCATAGATTTTGGTAAGGCACTTGCCATGATTGATGGCACTATCAGTCAGCTTCAGAGACCACGAAATCACCCAGAGTACATGACCCAACTGGTAGACAACATTTTCAAGGCAGAGCACATTAAGTGGAAACCCATAAGAATAAGGCATCGTCCACAGATGCCTGTAGAACCAGCACTAGATGAGCCAGCAGAACACCACAAAGTCACTGGGAATGCAATAAGTTTTATGTAGTTATGGACACTGTATTGGAATCCAAGAGAAATTGCTTTAAAGGTATTATGAATCGAAAAATGATTTTAACCTAATCGATAGAACTCACTTTGCTTATTCGTACTGTGGTATCCATTTGCTAAACTTTAATCGCGTTTATTCTGATAAAATTCACTCCAAACCCTCGATTTTGCTGCACTACGAACTTCAAAATGTGGCCTACTTCAAACGCGGTCGAACCGCTCTGCCCTAGTCTCCTGTGACGTAAAGTGTTTGACACATTCTCATTGCCTACGTAGCAAACAAGTCGTCAACACGACTACACCCACCATCAAATAAGCTTTGTTTCCTGAACTTTAGGTTCCAAAGTGCCCATATAACTAAATATACTTTTGAAAACGGAAACTGACCGTCCTTTGACTCATAACAACACCTCATCAATGTGAAAAGTTATCGATCAACCTAATATTGAGTCAGGGTATGAACGGTAGCTCTTTCTTCGTAAACAAACCGTGCTTGTTAAAAACATGTTTCGCTTTGTTTTCAGATTTATTTTAATTTACGTCTAAAGAGTCCAACCCCTATACTGACGTAATGTAAAGTTGTTTGTTTGCGTTGTTTTCTAGTACTTTGCTTACGTCATTAAAACGTTTTCACACAACAACTTACATATAAATATGAGGATATCCCGTCATTTCCAACATTGTGAAATAAAGGTTTCTAGGAAAAGGTAAGGAAATTTACTACTTGAGCAAATAGCTGTGGAAAATTTGACATGGAAAAACAAAGTTTTAGAGGTGGAAAATATTGCTGCGCTGGCTTACCAATCAAAGAATCTTGCAAGAACAGTACTCAGATTCCGGGAGTTTCATTGCACTGTTTTCCTAAAAATCCTGCAATTCGCAAACAGTCGTCGACAGCAGGCTCGGACCCAGGGGTGATCTACAAAACTGGGCCCCCTGAAAAAATTTTCTGTGGCCACGTCTCTAAGTCTCCCTGAGAACAAGGGAAACGCCCTTTTTAGGTATAATTGTTGAAAAAGGGGGCACAGGCCTTGGAAACTGGTTTGTTTTAGCGATTGTATCCTGTGTTTCTGTGCCTATTTAATTGAAATATTTACTTGATCATAACTATCAACAGATTGTTAAAGAAGCGTGCTCCAAAGATTTCCCCACAGAAAAATCTACGGAATGCAATAAAGCCGAGCCGGTTGAGACGGAAAATGATCTAGAGATGGTACTTCCTGAAGCAGATTTTGACGCGCCTCCTGCAACAAGAGACGTATACTGTGAAGTGAATTTAAACTGTTCGGGATGTAAGAGAAGCAAGAAAAAAAGGATTCTGTTGTTCAGAAAATACAAAAGAATCGCCACACGTGTTAAAAAGCTGCTCAACAAAAACAAAGAATTGAAGAAGGTACGTACACATTTTTAGACGACAGGAGTTTCTTGTAATTTCAAAACATGTTAAGAAAGAAGCTCGACAAGCAAGCACTTAGGAAAACTGTTGTTTTCAAAAAGTCGATATAACAATAAATAAAACTTTCTATGTAGAATAATTGAATCTATTCAGAAATTTTTTAACAATATTTTAATTTCTGAATAGAAGTACAACAAATTGCTGAAAGCAAACGACCAAGAAAATGACGAAGTTGACTTTGGAACAGAAAAAGACGAAACAGAAAGCATGCTTGAACCCGGAGAGCAAAACTCTGAAGAGTCTGATTTTGGCTTATCCGATGAATCTTCCGGTGAAAGAGAAGATGGGGGCATGGATGATGATGATGATGATTATGATATGGATGACAAAAGTGGTGATTATAATGATGATGATTACGATGACAATGATGAAAGAAAAAACATCCAATCAAAACGCATAAAGTATGTTATTTTTGCAAAAATATTTTGTACCTTTTTTAAGTTACTCAGTTCTTGTTGAAGCATTAGCAAAAGAAAAAATACGAAAAATGTCAATTTGCAGCACATAACAAATTTTCCCAGAATGACAAACTGAATCAATCCTATTCTTATGCACTCAACCAATTGAAGCCATAGATGAACGATCTAAAGAGCAAAAATGTTAAAAACTGTCAGAAATCAGAATTAGTTCATATTCTGCTGGTTAAACTTTTTCACTGCATCACTTTTTAGATTTGATCTGAAAACTCCAGTGGCAGAAGAGCCCAAGTTCATTGTGTTTTGCAGTATGCTGATGCAACTATTTTCAATGTTCTGCTTCAAGTGCAAAGTTGGCAAACCTGATGTTGAATTGG